CCCACTTGAGCACTGAAGTCTCCAGCGACCACCACTATGTCCGTTGACCAAGCGCCTTGGAGCAGTAGAGAGAGGTCCTGCTTAGTATCGCTCAAAGTGAAAAGGAATTTCGTATACTGCCTAGCAGATAGAGCAAGAAAGATTTATAGTGAGGAAAAAATGCAAGAGGAGCTCTGGTTCTTACATTCTATCTCCACACAGTGGCTACCTGGTTAGTAAGGTGAGTCAGTGGACTGAAGATGTGAAGATCGCCGAGGCGTCATATTGTATGACCATAATCGGGTTTCTCGAAAAGTTATTGATGCAAGTAAACAATCATGCCTGTTCTAGCTTACCCGTTAGACGAATTTTGTGTTTCACCTGAAATCAGTCAATATTCGCGCCACCTTGACGGACAGACTAGTCACATAGTCGTTCAGTAAGTACCCAGCGTCTGGTGGATTAAAGCATCGTTGCATGTCTCGGGGATGGATGTAGTTAATGTTCTCCCAACGGTTCTCGAAGCTCGCCTTCTCGTTTCGTACAAAATGGGTATCATTGTCATCGGATGTGTATTTGCTGATCAACCCCGCCCTGCGATGTATCTCATTGTTGCGATAGACAGACAGATAGATTGATCGATTTTCAGTGCCTGGTGCCTGTGAGAAAACCAAATCCAACCATTCCCCGTCTAGATTTTCAGGTGCTTTCAAGTGCACGCACATGATTAGACATTGGTATCTTTCGTTCACACCTTTCCCGTTTTACGTACACATATAGGCCTGAAATAGTCTACACCTACGTGATTCCAGAGGTACATGCCACATGTGCAAACGGAAATGGGACCGTCAGTCGACCTTCATACACTATAGAAATTCATTTATTTACGGTTTCATGAAACAATTTTCTTGTACCACTTACTATGATTTACAGATCATACGATGGTGGTACGATTTCGCACAACGATCGGTGTATGATGAGGCCTACCGCTNACCGCTTGAATCGTTTTCGGTAAAATCAGTTTTTCCAGTGGTTATATGGTAATCAGTCTACATCAGTTTCCCGTCAACCGAAAAAGAAAAATTTTCGAGTTCGAGGCCGCAGTGATATACTCTCGAGTAAAACACTTGTCGGTGACCTTTCATTGAATTTCGAAGGTTTTGCATACCTTACCACAAAGCGATCACTTCTATTTTACAGCCATGAAACCTCGCTCGGACACATGAATAACATTCATCGACTGGTGCTTTTCGAACATTGATGCTGACGTCGTTTGGTGCAGGTTGTATGATGATAAAAGGAAAATAACCTCAAAAACCTACCTCAGACCACCCTGTTCGCAGTTATGCCATGCTGAGCAACAGGTGATGTGGGGATCACTTTTAAAGAACCACACTGGACGATTAAAGAGAGTGGGTATCTTCTGTCTTCCGGGTCGGTACCCGAAAGATTAAATGACTGGTTGTTTAGAGACAATGAACGACATGACCGGGAATTGTGTTACTGCTGTTGTCCTTTCTTATCAGATCATTATCCGTGAAAGAGAGAGAGGGAGGAAGCAGTTGGGCCGCGTACTTTGTTTTGATCAAAGTAGTTCACTTTCTACATCTCACTTAGTATGTACGTCACACACCCGAACCTACGGTGTACACAAACAGAGCTTGATAGCGACCAGCGAATTTTGCTTTGCCCTATTTCCCAGTTCTATAATCATAGTGATGTGGCTTCTGGCGTGGCATACAGTACCATGAAAAATTCTTCTTGTGCTTTGAGAATGACCTGTGGTCTGATCTTCTGTACTTTAGGTGGAGAACCGATTCAGTTTTTTGTAATTTCATGATATAATTCCTTTGGACCACAACTGGGTTACCTGTGGTCGGATGCGCTGTTGATAATGCCCTCGTAGCACGACTTCATTCCATTTTTTCCTTTTTCCCTTATTCATACCCAGGGAACAGATGCCTCTTTAATTCCAACACTCTGTTGGCCTGCCTACGGGACCTCGAACAACGAACCGAGAGGTTCCACATTGGAGCGTTGTTTGGAGCGACTGAAAGGCCAGTATGGATTTCGCAGATTCACACGTGATGGTTACGCAACGGTGTTAGATCTAAGTTCCCACTATCAACCGGGAGAGCTAATGGTAAACACATCCTGAGCTTGTGTTTTCAGACATTTCTTTCTTTCTTGCTGTCGATTTCTTCAGTGCGTTGTAAATATCAACTGCATGTTTCCGGGAGTAGTTTGCACGATATCTACAGCGAAAAGGGGTTGACTAAAATTCATGTTGAAACTAGTTTATAGAATCTGTGATCAAAATGTTTTTCGATTTCGAAAACCAGCAAAACGTGAGAGAAAACTGGTGCGAAAACCTTGAACAGCCAGCTTATGTGGACGACTTATCATCAGAACTCAGAATTGGTCAATCAATGTCTTCACTTCCCCAGGCGTGTTTGTATCTCCTTGTGATCCGAATAACACAAACGCCGGCGACAACTACAATGTTTGTTGAGCCAGCACGACAGTAATCGAGGGAGATCATTTCAAAAGTCATCCTTCTTCCGAGACGCACTGCAGTCGGTGGACACATACACGGACACGATTAATAAACCAGGGACGTTGCGTTGACCTACGCGGAGCTATCAGGCCGAACGGCGCATAGTCGACTGCTAACTGGAATCCAGGCGAGACTCGATCACTCATCCTTGACACAACGCAATCCTGATGCTGGCAATACCTTGAGCGCAAAGAGCCCAATACGCGAAGAGTGAAGCGTGAGAGTGAGATTGAATATCAAAAACTGGCAGTGCTTATTTCAGCGAGGTCTTGCACGCGTGTTTTGGAGACAGCATAGGTCAACGTTGAAGGTTTTAAGGATCCCAGCTAAGACAGCTTGTTCGTCGATCTTTAAGAGTGTGTGGACTTTGGTTGCGGCTATGTGAAGACCAGATATTGGTTTGATCACGGCTGTCTTTTGTTTTGCTTTCTTCATTAGTCAAACCGAGTGATATACCTTGATGAGCGGAAACAGGAGGCATTTCGTGTGTTTTAAGAGAGGAAGAAAAAACAGACAGTAGGGAATAAGCGTTTTTTGAATGGATGCTTGTGGCTGTAGGGCTTGAAATACTTTGCCGCAGCTCACACGGACAATCTTTTTTTTTGTGGAACCGTACGCGGGGTTTCCGATTCAAAATTCTGACCCGCAAGACCGAGCGGCATAGATCCAAGGCTTGTGCGTGACGTATTCTGGACCCAAGCAGATAAGGAATCTCATCTGACCCTAGTCAATTGGCTTCGAGGGACAGCTTTGCCTGGTCTCTACCGATTGACATTTCAGGTGTGATTGGATCTGCGTTCTATTTAGCGCGCTGCATCACGCAGTCAGAGATCAGCGCACCGCGTGAAAGTGCAGTTTCGCGGTTACAGATTCATCTTCATTGGTTGAATGGTCAAAAGAAAGCAACTCGAATCGAAAAAAACTTTGCCAAATTATTCAAAGTCAGGTCTTTTTTAAGCAACATTCACAATCAAGCGTGATCCTTACTGGTTGTCCGTGCTTCGATAATTATTTTCATTCGGTATTGGCTTATCGGCCAGGTAATTTGCATCTGGTCGTTGCCCTCAATGACGTGGTGACCGTTGTTTTCATTTGATTTTTTTAAATCTACCAGAAAACGGACCACAAAGTGCAATTTAACAAAATTGAAATTTTCATGCTTGCCATTTTCTGCTTAGACAGATGGCCCTTTTCCCCTTTCAGCATCGTTCCCCTAGGGCTTGTAACTCAATTCAATCCCATTTCTTAGTTTTGATTGATTCGATTGTCTCAGTTCTGTCAGTCTACCTCAACTCTATTTCCGTTTACTAGAAATTCGCGGGAATTGAAAGTGAATGGCCCATGTTTTTCGCCTATATGGTTATTGAACGTAAGTGCTTTTGCAATAGTGTTCCAACAACTCCGTATTTCCTCAAATAAAATAATCACCCATTCTTTAGAATAGCTTTTTTATCCCTTGGGACAGTAGAGGTAGGTTCGCTGTTGTTTTGTTCAGTGTTGCTTGCATTTTTTCATTGTACGCCGGTCTCTCTCCTAATGGCAATCATTTAAAACCAGGTTTCCGTTTCCATTCCACTCGTTATCACACCGTGGAATTCACTTGGACATACATATTTTACCACTGGTAGAAATATTCAAAGCATAATCATTTGAGGAGTTCGTTTTCTTTTTTCCTGTTTCATTTCTCTCGTAACCCGCATGAACACGACAGTGCGAAAAGGCATTCTGGCGGAGCACATTTTGTTAATATGATGCACAATAATGGTTAATAAAGAAAATGTTGGTAGAGGTGTAAGCAGTCATCATCAGGCGTCAACGTGCTGCTGATTTCAGTTGTTTATAACCCCTGGCCTGCGAAACGAGTATCATATCGTGTGTTTCTAAGTCAAAATCGTCAGAATATTTCAGGGAATCTATATCATTATGTATTAACGTGGAGGCAACCTCTCACTGAGTTTTCGTCAAAGTACATTGGAACACCAGGGTATTGTAACAGCTAATCACTTTATAGAGGAAAACGGCTTTTTGAATCGTGAGATCTTCCATGCTAAGGGGGCAGATGTGATCAGGAAAGCTTATGGAATTTCGGATGAAGCTAGACTATCCGTTTAGACTCCTTAATCCAGATTGAGAAAAAAACAAAGCATTCGGGTATAACACACAATCTATTCTGGAAGGCTTTACCGCTAGTTGTTCGATTTGATCAGTACCATGCTGAGCGTGTATCTTTGGTCGTATCCCGTTTCGGGATCAGGTTGTATCACGATGCCGCAGCTTAACCATTTTCGCTGTATGAACGATCTGTCTACTGTTCCGCTCATGTTTTGACTCAATGTCCATTTACGGCACACACGCACACGTACGATCTGCGTTTCATTCATATCTGTATCTGGTTCCGACAGATTGTATGAAAGGAGAGATCGACAAAGCGATGGAATACAACAATCTCATGCAACCGTTGCTCGTCCATCCGGTAACTGAACTGTGTAAGTTGTAATTCTGTCCTCCTCCTCCTCCTCCGGTCGTGACTGGTAATGTGAGCCCACCTGTCTCGTCTTTTGTGTCGTCCCTCATTCTACTGTGCGACATACGTTCACCTAGATATTAAACCGGTTCATGTACAATCTGCCTTGCGTCTTTTTATCGGAACGGTTTTTGTGTGGGTAAATTCCGTTCCGTTTTTCATAACTGTGAACACTCAACTGTAACTGGATATTGCGCAATAAACATCGTGATAGTGTCATCAGGCAGATGAATGATTCCACTTTACATGTATGTGTTCTCGCGTCACTCGCTTTATAAATTGCATCCTTCGTGCAGATTTGATATATCTAAGTGTGAGCGCTGCACCGAGAACTTGGCCCAGTCGACAGAATTCACTTCTGATGCGCGTTTCGGATTTATTCCTTTCATCTACCTCTGCATGCGTCTATCGTGCGGAAGAATTCTTTCTGGCCCACAGTGAACATCTCGAACACATCTAGTGTTCCCGAATAATTTATCTCAATGAGGACTGCTGTTTTCTTTCTAGGTCTGTAAAAGAACAATTGATCTTGCTGGTGGTGGTGATGGCGGCGGCGGTGTTTCAATTCAGTTGGTCTTCACAGTGTACAGGTCGTTTGCTCATCGTCTTATATTCCGCTAGTTCCAACCCCAGCTTAAATTGGCGGCTTTCATTCGGAAGAAGCCTCCTTCACGGATGTTGGTTGTACTTTTATGTGAATCAGAGAAAGTAGAAGATTAATAATTGTTATGCGATGGTTCGTATGATCACTGTTATAACCCGTCGCCAGATATGAAATGATCAGCGCAGTATAGAAACGGAACGAACCATTGATCGAAACAAGAACCACGCAATCGCGCCAGCTACATACGACTCACGGCTGCTCCACCCGAAATTTCAGGAAAATGACGGATGATTCAAAAGGATGTGGGTATTATCACAGGTTCTTATAAAA